GCAGGAGGGTGAGTGGCAGAGCTGGGCCACAGGGCTGGTGGCTGCAGTCAGATGGGCCTCATCCCATCCCATCCCATCCCATCCCATCTCCTGTGGACATGGCCAGGGAAACGGAGGGGGGAAGAGGGCCCAGGGCTGATCCATGCACTGGGCATCCCAGGGCTGGCCCTGCCTGTAGAGTACAGGGCTGGGCCGTGTTCTCCGGCCTGTCCTGCAGCCCCTCAGCTCTGACCGCGCTCACTCTTTGCCAGATCCAGGACGGGACCGAACACAGGAGCAGGACCGCGCCTGTGGCCGCTTCTGCAGGGCAGCACAGGTACCTGCAGCCACGGCCTCCTGGGCTGGGCCTGCTGTCCCTGCTCAGCCTGGCACCGCTGTCAGAGCTCTCCATGCCACATCCCTCTTTTCTCTGCCCTTCATTCTCCTGCAGAGGTTGCTGGACTCCAATCCCATTTGGCGTAGAAAGACCAGTGCCTCACCATCTGAGGCCATGGCGCAGCCTGAGCCCAACCTGACCAAGCTCAGTGTGCCTGATGCTCCCAGTGTGGACGTTCTTGATGAGGGAGTTGTCTCTGCTCAAGTAAGCAGCCTGTGGGCAGGGATTGTGTGAGTCCTCAAGCTGGGTCTGCTGGGCCCCTCAGCCTTTGAGGCTGGCACAGTGTGGTGGGAAGGGAAGCACTTCTTGGCGGAAAGTGGGCGAGTTGCTCCCTCTGGCAGCTCTTGAACTGCCCCATGTCCCCTCCAGGCCAGACTGTGGGACTTGATGGCCTGGAGCGTTCTGAACACTCCTCTATTGCAGATGACTTCCAGGCACTTCTGCAGGATTTGGTCACCCAGAGATTTTCCTGCCATCTCTCCTGCAGGTAGCCATGGAGCCAACCAGAGACATGGAGCAGAGACCCCCCAGGGTGCCCAAGCTGGCGTGGATGAAGGAGGAGGAGGAGGAATGCCCTGGGCCTGCCCCAGCACAACACCCTGAGGAGGTGGAGCAGTCCCAGCCCCTGCAGGAGGGTGAGTGGCAGAGCTGGGCCACAGGGCTGGTGGCTGCAGCCAGATGGGCCTCTTCCCATCCCATCTCCTGTGGACATGGCCAGGGAAACGGAGGGGGGAAGAGGGCCCAGGGCTGATCCATGCACTGGGCATGCTGGGGCTGGCCCTGCTTGTGGAGCACAGGGCTGGGCCGTGTTCTCCGGCCTGTCCCGCAGCCCCTCAGCTCTGACCGCGCTCGCTCTTTGCCAGATCCAGGACGGGACCGAACACAGGAGCAGGACCGCGCCTGTGGCCGCTTCTGCAGGGCAGCACAGGTACCTGCAGCCACGGCCTCCTGGGCTGGGCCTACTGTCCCTGCTCAGCCTGGCACTGCTGTCAGAGCTCACCATGGCACATCCCTCTTTTCTCTGCCCTTTGTTCTCCTGCAGAGGTTGCTGGACTCCAATCCCGTTTGGCATAGAAAGGCCAGTGCCTCACCATCCGAGGCCATGGCGCAGCCTGAGCTCAACCTGACCAAGCTCAAGGGCAAGGCTGACAGTCCAACGACTGAGGGTATCGCCGACACTGAGAGCACACCTGTTCAGCGCCTGCCCAATGCTCCCAGTGTGGGCGTTCTTGGAAAGAGAGTTGTCTTTATTCAAGTAAGCAGCCTGTGGGCAGGGATTGTGTGGCCCCTCAAGCTGGGTCTGCTGGGCCCCCTCAGCCTTTGAGGTTGGCACAGTGTGGTGGGAAGGGAAGCACTTTTTGGGGGAAGGTGGGGAATTGCTCCCTCTGGCAGCTCTCCAACTCTCCCCTGTGTCCCCTCCAGGTGCCAGCTGTGGTGAGGTACATCCACTGGTGGCTGACTGCCCACGTGTCTGCCGGGCATGTGCTGGATAACACCCTTCTAGCACTGACCCAGGCACACCCCGCGGATGTCACCATCAGCCTCCTGCGCTGTGCCCCCTCATGTGACAGGTACGGGCTCCACCTGCCTTGAGGGCTCACCAGCCTTTAGAGCCCATCACCCCCCTGCCCCTGAAAGCACTGTGGCTCTGTCACCCGGCCCCTGCAGCTGCCCAGGTCAGGGCGCTGTGCTCGAGAGCCCCCTGACGCAGAGCTCTGACTCCACAGAGCTGCCGCAGTCATGTGGAGGACCATCGCCTCGTCGGGAACGACCCTGGAGAAGGTGCTGCCAGTGCTGCTCTCTGTGATGGAGGACTGGCCATGGCACAGCACCTGCACCTCCGATGGGGACAACGCAGATGTCTTTGCCCTGGCTGTGAGTTTCTGGAAGCTTTGCTTGCCCCCAGGTTGCCTCTCTGGCAGCTCTCCATCCTCCCCCAGCACGGCATCTCCCTGCCCATCTCCCTGCAGGCACTGGGCTGGAAATGTGGGTTAGCAGCAGGTTCAGGGGCACCAGGCCGGGCACTCCCCTCGAGTCTCCCCTGGCAGGGGGAGCCCTGCCATGCTCAGGCCCTGCCACATGGATGTCTTGGCACTGAGCGCTGTGTCCGGGTGGTTTGTCTTTTGCAGGCAACTCTGGCACTGTGGACGATTGTCCAGGAGCCCCAGTGCCCAGGGCCATTGATGGAGTATTCCCCCCATCTCCTCATGGCTCTGCTCTTCCAAGTTTTCATCACCACAGAGCAGATGCCCGAGGAGGTCGAAAGCTTCTGGAGGGGATGCCGGGAGGAACACGACCTTCCCACTGACCCCAACAGGTGCTCCATCCCAGTCCTCCCCTCCCTCCCATGGCCTCAGGGCTGGGGCCAGGGTTCCCAGCATGACCTGGGCTTTGCTCTGCACACAGATTTGCAGTGCTGAGCATGAAGGCCCTGCTCTGCTGCCTGCACTGTGAGGATGTGGTGTGTTCAGTGGAACACAATCGTGGCTGGGCGAGGCTCCTCAATGCTCGCAGCCGCCGCTACGCAGTGGGTCTGCTGGCCAGGTGAGACCCCCTTGTCCCCGCTGTTCCTGTCCTTTCTGCTTGTCCTTTCTGCCTCCCAGAGGGCCCTCCATCCCTCCTGGGCTGGTGGGGAAAGACCAGGGCTCTGTGAATCTGTCCTGGGATAGGTTTGCCCACCGGGCTCGGGGTCAGTGGTGCCTTTTTCCCCCCGGCAGGGAGATGCGCCGTGTCTCCAGCCCCTTGTGTTCCCGCATCGCACTCCACCTGCTGGAGTTGCTGAGCAGGGAGGAGCCGTGCTGGGACCTCCCTGCCATGGCATTCCTCGTGGAGGTGAGCCTGATAGTGAGCACTGCCTCACTGAGCTGCCTCCAGCTCTCTGGCCTCTTGGAGGGCCCAGTCCTGTGCGGGTCTGGGCTCCTGCCGGCCGGGCACCCCGTCACTGCTCCGTGGCTTTCAGGTCCTGGACTGCCTGGACATGCGTGACTGGGGAGGCAGCGTTCTGCAGAGCCTTTCAAGGCACCTCTGGAGCGAGTGCCCAGAGAGGCGTCGCCTGGCGCTCCGAGGGCTCCTGGTGCTCAGCCAGGATTCTGGGATGGTGAGGAAGGGGAAGGGGCTGAAGCCGTGCAGGCAGTGTGGGGCTGGGTAACACGGTCTTTTGGGCTTGGTTAAGCATTGGGAGCTGTGGCAGCTGCTCCCAGCTCTGCTGCCTCCCCGTTCAGCTGCCCGAGTCCCTTGGCCTTTGGCCTCTGGGCTCCACGGCAGCACGTGGGGCTGCCCTGCCGAAGTGGGGTTGGGGCTGCAGCCGTTCATGGCTCCACAGCACAGCGTTGTGTTTGTTCCTCACAGGCCAAGAGAATTTGGAGCCTATCGGATAGCCTGGTGCAGCTCCTGGGGGATGAGGACAGAGATACGGTTTGGATGACGCTCTCTGTGCTCGACAACGTGCTCTGGAGCAGTGTCTGGACACAGCTCCAGAAAAGGGTCCAGAGCAAAGACCCCCTAATATCCACCCCCACCGGCCTGCAGTTGGCTGAGGCGCTCCGGCCACTCTTTGACCACGTAAGGCTCTGTGCCCCCCCACGGGCTCTGGGTACTGCTGGGAAACTTTGTGCCCTGTGGATTTTCAGGTCTGTGCCCGATGGGGCCTGGAGAAGCTGGTGCTGAGGTCCTTTCCTCTTTCTGTCCACCAGGACGACAGCAGTGTGCGGGAGGGCTCCATGGTCATCTTCACACGTGTGATGAAACTGATAGAGAGAGCGGGAAAGAGAGCCCTGAAGCCACACGTGTGCCTGAGCCTGCTCCCGCTCTACTTCCACCGGCACGATGAGAACCCGGTTGTGAAAAAGGTGAGGACTCGTGGGCTCTGGTGTCCCATGGGAGGGGGCTGGGCTGCCTCCTGGCCTGGCACATCGTGGGCTCCAGCCTTCTGGCCTTGGTCCAGGGACACGAGTCCCGTGCCCTGGGCTGTGGTGCCATGTCCTGGTCTCTGTTGCTCTGCAGGCCTCTCAGAAAGCACTGCTGGCTGTGACCAGGTTCCTGAAGAGGAGGGATCTTGGGCGCCTGGTCAACACAGAGGAGCCATGGAGTTTTGGAGAGTGCCTGGTAAGGACGACCCCAAAGCCGCAGTCCCCGATGCCCAGAGTGCGGGGCTGGCACTGTGCCCCTGCCCACTGCTGCAGCCGCCCGCGGGACAGCAGCCTGCGCCCCACCCGCTGCTGCCTTGCCTGGGGCGTGCGGGCTCCTCTGCAGGCTGCTCTGCCCCCGAGCCAGGGGGCCGCTGGAGCCCCGGCCCAGCTGGGCTGTGGGGCAGGGCAGCCCCACGGCTGCCGGGGAGCAGCCAGCCCTCTGCTCCCTCCAAAGCCGGCCCCAGCGGCTGCTGCCCGGGCCTCAGGGCTGTGCAGGCAGGGGAGGCCAGTGCTGGGCGCAGGCAGCGCCCGGCCAAGGGGCAGAGCCCCAGCCAACCCTTCCCTCTGTGCCCTGCTGCTCTCTCCAGCTGGAAAAGGACCGGAGCCGAGTGGCCGAGTACGTGGACCAGGCCCTGCCGTACCTGTGGAGCCCACAGCAGCCCCTGCGAGAGGCGGCCGTCAAGTTCATGGGTGAGCCACAAGGTCCCTCCCCGCCCCGCTGCAGCTCGGCCCCAGCCCCGGCTGCTGCAGCGGCAGCAGGATGCGGCCCAGGGATGTGCCGGGGAGCCCCGAGTGCCCTGGTGACTGCTGCCGCCCTGTGCCAGCCCAGCCCTGGGGAGTCCCGAGGCGGGAAGGCCCCGGGCTCAGCCCTGCCAGGGCAGGAGGGTGTGTGGCCGGGCCGACAGTGCCACTGGGGGGGAGCTGTGCCGCTGGGGCCCTGACAGCATCTGTGTTCCCAGGGGTGGCCGGCAGGTACCTGAGGGGACAGTACAAAGAGCTGCAGCTCATCATCGATGGTGAGTGAGGGCAGTGGGGCTGGTGAGGGGAGCACAGACCCTGGGCAGGGAGCTGCAATCCTGCCCTGGCTGCGCAGGGCTCTGCTCCCTGCCCGGACGAGGGGCAGCGTGGGCAGAGCAGGGAGAGATTTCAGGGGCACAGGGGGTTTTGGTGGCCAGCACCTTCCAGCTGATCCCGCTGGGCCCTGCTCCCTCCTGGCAACAGCAAGAGCTGGGTGGGATGGCCCTGGCAGGAGGGGCTCCTCGGGTCCCCACCCATCCGGGCTCTGACCTTGTCTCTGTTCCTCTCTGTTCCAGCCCTTCAAGCCACGACAGATGACAGCAGCCCCACTGTCTCCAAGCTGGCACTTGAAAACATCAACTTCCTTAGAGCTGTACAGAGAGCTCCCTACCTCCAGCAGCTGCGAGACCAGCTCTGCAGGGCATGGAGTACCCGGCCTTCTGTGTGGGGCTGTGTGTGCCTGTGCTGCTGTAGCTGTGTGGAGAGCTGATGCAGGCAGCTCTGTCTGTGGGAGCCACCTGAGCTTGTGGGGAAGACGCCTCTTCTCTGCAAGCTCTTCCTTTTACACTAGCATAGGAATATTAAATAACTCTTGTCATCCACAGAGGCCCAGGAGCTTTTTTTGGGTGCCCGGTGTCCTCAGGGCATCTGGGAAGAGGGAAAAAAGGGCCCTTGTGCTCAGCAACACTTGCCCAGGTGTGCAGTGCGGAAGGCCAGTCAGACTCCCAAAACTGAATATGGACAAAGATTCCTCCCAGACAAAAGGTGCCAGGACAGAAAGCTCTTGCTGCCCATGGAGTGCCCAGGCTGGCCCACCAATTGCACCTGAAACCCAAAGGTTGCAGGCTTTCTTTCCTAGGGGAAAGGGCTTTTGTTTGCTTTTTTCAGCCCCGTGCAGAAATTGCCAGTCCAACTCTGTGGTGGTTTCGAGCTCAGTTCCTTGCTAAGTCCCCAACACCACAGCAAAAGCTTCCCCCCCAAAAACCAAGGGAAAAGAAAAAAAAAATACCAAGAGAACCGAAATAAGAGAACTAAAGCAATATATATTTTGCCCCTCCTTCTGCACTGACCTTGGGGTCTGCACTGCTGTTCCTGTGTTCTCACTCCACTCTTCCCTGGCTGGAATTCTCTCTGTGCCACAACCTTCTGTTCCTAAATATGTCATCCCAGAGGCATTACTGTCACTCCTGATGGGCTGACCCTTGGCCAGTGGCAGGAAGCCCCTCCTGGAGCCGGCTGGCATTGGCTCCACGGGACAGGGAAAGCTTCTGGAAGCTTCTCACAGAAGCCACCCCTGTAGCCCCCCCACTACCAAACCCCAGCCACAGAACCCACTATACCCCTGATCTGGCACCTTTTGGGTTTCATCTCATTTATCCCTTTCGCCTTTTCTTCTTTCCCAGTAGGGCCCCAAGCTAAAAGCAAAAAATTCCCTTCCAACCCAAAGCATTCCATGATTCTCAAAGCCAAAATTGCCCCTTCGTAGCAGCATTAAAAGCCCTCTGATGGGGTTTTATTGCTCTGTTGCTGTGCTGGGCACAAATCAAACATCTCTCTGTCCCTCAGATTTTATCTGCTGTGTCTCTCAAGCACAGCAGGAGGACATTTCTGACATATCCCCACTCCATGACCCAGTTTTGAGTGGAGAAAGAGGAAATTTGGGTCACTTGTTAAAAGCATCACTGGTAGGAGGGGCTGGAAGAAGGACCAGCACAACACTCAGGGTTGTTTTTTCATAGAATCGTGGAATTGTTTGCATTGGAAGGGACCTTAAAGCTCATCCCATGTGCAGGGACACCTCCCACTGTCCCAGGTTGCTCCAAGCCCCATCCTTGGACACTTCCAGGGTTGGGGAGGCCATGACCTTGGGGAGCCACAAGCCTGGGAGCTGATATTTGGTAACTGAGCCATTTTAAACAACTCTGGAGCCGCTTCCACTTAACAAGAGAGGTAAAATAAGCAGAGAAAAATTATCTTTTCCAAATCCCTTGAAGCAGAACCCCCTTCCCCGGGAGCAGAGGGAGGTGGTCGAACGTGTGGAGGGGAGAGCTAATTGTCACTCCTTAATTAGCTCTGCCACCGCCAGTGGGAGCCAGGCCAGGAGTCGGGAAAACAACCGGGCGAGTGTTTTATGTTCACACCCCACCTCGGAGCGCAGAGCCCGCTGTAAAACAGGCAGGAATGCCGCTGCCTGGAAACCCACTCGGCATTCCTGTGTCCCTCCTTCCCAGAGACACCTTTCTCCGGGTAATTGTTCCAAACCCGCGGCGTGTCCAGGGAAATCATGGCTTTTAGGGTCTTTTTTTTAGCACTGGGGTTTGAGTAGGGGGGAGAGGTAGTTCTTGGCTTTGTTTAGTTCCCTTAAATCCCCCCTTCCCTGGGACTGCCCAGGGGCTTCTTTTCCCCCTTTTTGCTTCTCTGAAGGCTCAATTCAATAAATACACATCCGGCTCCTTGGGAGCTTAATGAAATTGCGGGAGGCACTTCCAAGAGCAGGATGTTTATTTTTCTCTGCTGCTGCAGGTCCTGCGTGCCCGGAGAGCTCCATAAAGAGCCCCTTGTGCCTGAGCGGGAACGCTGGGGCAGCCGGGAAGTGCTGCACTCACTCAACACCGGGCTCCTCTTACTGCACAGCCGGCTGCCTTTCCAGGGAATTTAGGAAAACGAGCCCAGTGTTAAGGTGGGAAAGTCAAGCACTTGCAAGGCAGATACAGCCTGGAGAGCTGGGTTAATCCACCTGTTTATGGGAGCATATTATGGAGCAGGCTCCTATTTTCCCCTAGTCCTTGCTGCTCAGGTCATGGAGGTTTCTACCTTCTGACAGAACCCCCTGCCTTTGCAACGTGCTCTCTCCAGAAATGTCCAACACCAGGGAGCTCCCAGTGCCTGCTCCTGGCTGGATGCAGCAGGTGGGGCATTCCCAAAGGAATGTCCTCTGAAGGAATGTGGAGGTGCAGGTGCTGCCAGGGGGGAGCAGAGAAGCCTTTCAGCCCTGCTGAGCCTTTGGGCATCAGCTCCGCTTTCTGGCCTCATTACTCATTGCTGGTGACACCAAGCTGGGCCTCAGTGAGACAGCAGTCCCAAGTCCCTGGGAGCTGCACCCTTGGGCATGGGGCTGGACTGCCTGGAATGTCTTGGTGGGTGGGAATGGATGATCCTTGAAGGCCCCTTCCAGACCAAATCATTCCATGATTCCTATGAAATCTTCACTGTTTGATGGGTGGGAATGGATGATCCTTAAAGGTCCCTTCCAGCCCAAACCATTCCATGATTCCTGTGAAATCTTCACTGTTTCCTCTCTCTGTGTTTCAGGAGAAAAACACTGGTTTGGGACCCTGAGCTGCAGCAAGGATGGATGGATGGATGGATTCAGAAAATTTGGAAAGATGCAGAAAATTTGGACGCATTCCAACACCAGGGGTTCATGGTGAGTTCTGTTCCTTTTGGGCCTGGCACTGAACATTCCCAGAATAAACCACGTTCCTTGCCTGAGAGACCTCCAGCCACCAGGCAGAGGATGTGTCACGGCAGCAATAAAGTGTTGGGAAATCAGGTCTCTCCTGGCCTGTTATTCCCATTCTGGAAGGGATATTCCAAAGCATCAGATTAAAACCAACTCATCTGTTTAGTTCTTTTATTTTGGCCTTCCCAGTCGCAATTCCAAAGCTTCTACTGGAAGCCCTCGGTGTGTTTTGGAATGGGAGCCGAGTGCCTTTTCCAGCACCTCTGGCTCTGCTTTCCAGGACACAGGGGTGGGAAATCTCCTTCTTCCCACTGAGGAGGGGGAATGGGGTCTCAGAGGGTGTTTGTGTTGCCTTGGATTTGACATTTTTTCTCAGGAGCTTCCATGTTCAAGGTGCTCAGCTGCGGGGAAGGATGAAGTGGGATGAGGTGGCCTCATGGGAAGAGTGAGGGACATGGAATCACAGAGTATCCTGAGTTGGAAGGGACCCACAAGGATCATCCAACTGTTCTGTATGTTGGAAACGGGCTTTTCTCCTCTCCAGCTCTTTCTTTTTTCCCCCTCTTGCTTTTCCTCGAGTTTTCTTCTGACAATCCCATGCAGGTGCTGAAAGAAGTTCTCCAAAGGGCAAAAACAAAGGGGGAGGAACCCCTTCCAGTTTTGTTTTCCCATCCAAATCTGAATATTTTCTGAGGAAGGGAACAAAAGATAACTAAAAATACAAACAAACCCCTTTTGTCTGCAAATCCCCTGGTGGGAGTGGGGGAAGTTGGACTGAAACATTCCTGGGTGACTCATTCCTGGGCGGTTTTTTGCCCTGGATGGAAAGTTGTCCTCAGCAGATTGGATGTTCTTTTCTAACCTGCCTGGTTTGTTGACTGAGGTAAAGGAGGTGCCTGTTTCTCCTTTGGTATTCCCACGTCTGCCATCAGAGGAAGGTTCCAGGTGGCTGTTTCTCTGGGAAAGCGGTGATAAAAACTCCATGGGTGTTTTCCTGCCCTGCCTCAAGCTGGAGATGGTGCCTCAAACTGTCGGTTGGTGATGCCCCAGGGGAGAAAATCCCTTCAACCACGCGTGATCCATGAGCTGGGGACCTGTGGCCAAGGTCCAGCCTGGATCCTCTCCCGTGATGGAGGCATGGAGAGACTGGAGTGCTGGATTTTGGTTCTTTGTACTCCGGGGTAGAACAGAGGGGAGGAGGAAGGATTTCTAAAGCCAGAGCCTTTCGTGGCCTCCACAGAAATAAATGATGGGAAAAGAATGGGAAAGAAACATGGAACGCTGCTCTCTCTCAGGTGATCCCAAGGAACCCTGCTCCCTCTCAGGTGATCCCATGGAACCCTGCTCCCTCGGGTGATCCCAAGGAACCCTGCTCTCTCTCAGGTGATCCCATGGAACCCTGCTCCCTTGGGTGATCCCATGGAACCCTGCTCTCTCTCAGGTGATCCCATGGAACCCTGCTCCCTGGGGTGATCCCATGGAACCCTGCTCCCTCGGGTGATCCCATGGAACCCTGCTCCCTCGGGTGATCCCATGGAACCCTGCTCCCTTGGGTGATCCCATGGAACCCTGCTCCCTCGGGTGATCCCATGGAACCCTGCTCCCTTGGGTGATCCCAAGGAACCCTGCACTCTCTCAGGTGATCCCATGGAACTCTGCTCCCTCGGGTGATCCCAAGGAACCCTGCTCTCTCTCAGGTGATCCTATGGAACTCTGCTCCCTCGGGTGATCCCATGGAACCCTGCTCTCTCTCAGGTGATCCCATGGAACCCTGCTCTGTCTCAAGTGATTCCATAATCTTACTGGGAGATATGAAAGGGATGTGTAGGCCAACCATTGTCCTCTCTCCTTCTCAATTGGCATCCAGTGGTCAAGGCTTAACATACCACCCAGGAAGAATCCAAGGATCAGAGGTGTGTGACCCACCCCTGTCTGGGCACAGGCAGTAGGAAATATTCAGGTTCTTTGGTCATTTTTCCACAACACATGGTGAAGCCACCGTAAACTTTCCTTTGGGACCATGTTGGAGCTGGCATCCCCCATCCATGACCATCCATGACCATCCAGATCCAGGCTCCTGGTTTTATTGCCCCTGAGGGTGGTGGGACACTGAACAGGTCACGGCCCCAAGGCTGCCAG